TGGGGGAAGGGCGTGCAGGCAGAGAGACCCTGGGGCCCAGGGGTTGTGGTGAGCCCTGTGACTCCAGGGCACCACCCATGATTACACACTCCAGGGCTCACTGTGGCCCGAGATGGCAGGTCGCGACTGGGTTAGGAATTGGACCAGAACTTGGTCCCAGCTCTCCTTGGCCTTGTGCTGAGCAGGCCCTGGCGGCATGGGCCCCAGCTTTTGGGTCTTTAGGTTTCTATTATCTTGGCCTCCTGAGCATTCCTGTCTCTGCAGAGATTCAAGACGGGGCTCTCCTTGTATCCTGCCACGGGGAATGCCTGTCGGAGCTGAGGCTGCGGGATGAGAAGGGACAGAATCTGGTGCTTGGCTGGTGATCAGTTTGTCTCTGCCTGGATGGCCACAGGACCCCGGGAGAGTGACTTCTCTGAGCTTTCATTTGTGCGTCCACACCATGCGGCCTCCTCTGAGACTCGGAGTCCAAGGGGAAGGAGAAAGGTGCGAATTCCTCACCTGTGAATGAGGCTTTACACTTTGAACTGCTAGCCTGAATAACTGATCTAATTTTGTGGTTTCAGGAGCCTTTGGCGGGTTGGGTTGGAGTGGTGGTGGGGTAGGGTTTTATATTTCTACTAGAGGCCCGATGCATGAAAATTTGTGCAAAAGTAGGCCTTCCTTCCCCCAGCTGCCGGCACTGGCTTCCCTCTGGCATCCAGGACCTGAATTTCCCTCCTCCGGCGATTGGCAGCAGGCACCCAGGACCCCAGCCAGCTTCCCTCAGGCCCTGGCTTTGTCAGGAAGGATGTCCGGAATGATGTCTGGAAGACATCCGGTCTAATTAGCATATTACCCTTTTATCGTTATAGATAGAGGCCCAGTGCACAGGTGGGGACCGGCTAGCCTGCCCTGATGGGGCATGGTCGTTCTGGTCGTTGTGGTTCTGGTCGTTCCGCTGTTTCAGTAGCTGGGCTTTTATTATATAGAATTTTTAGGACATTTTCTTGGACATGCCTCAGGGGATGTAAGAAGCATTTGAACAGCTCTGTTTTTATTGCATTTTTTATGCTCCTATTTGAAGTTTTCCCAGAAAATTCAAGCTTTTAAAGCCTTTCTCCTCCATTTTATTTGACAAATCCTAGGTGGTGATATTGTTGGAAAGAAGGTCAGACTTGGAATCCCTCAGAGCTACCTGTTGTCATGCATGGAAGGCCAGTCATCAATGCCAAGGGCACCCTAAAGCAAAGGTAGGTGGAAGAGTTTATTTTGAAGAAAATTAAGGGACATTGTAGAGCCATATTTGAGAGGAAGTGTTTTGTGTTCAATAAACCATTACTATTACTCAGCAAGGACTCCCTTTCTCAGAAGTCAAATGGAGCAGCCACTAATGCCCAGTGAATATTCTTTTGTTGGATTAATTTCTGATTCTGTATCTACTCATCTTCTGTAATTGCTGCCTCTAGCAAAGTGGCATGTGACATCTGAACATATTATTTCAGGAAAGAAAAAGGAAACATTTGGCAGTCTACACTTTTTAAAAGAAGGTGGTTCTCCCTTGTTGAAGGGTAGGGAGTATGTGAATAAATCAATGGTTAGTTTTCCATTGGGGTGGTTTTGTGTGTGTGTGTTTTTCTCTCCCAGAATATCTCTTTTATTTCATCTGACAAAAATGTGGGATAATATGTGGTCATTTTTAGTCATTTAAAAAAATTTCTATCATTTCACTAAGTAGTTCAGGGTACCTATATTCTCTATAAGCAGCATACAAAAAGAGTGTGGCACCTGGCCAGCGTTGGTCAGTGGTTGAGCTTCAACCTATGAACCAGGTCACAGTTCATTTCCTGGTCAGGGCAAGCAGGAGGCAGCCAATCAATGATTCTCTCTCATCATTAATGTTTCTATCTCTCTCTCCCATTCCCTCTCTGAAATCAATAAAAGAATTTTTTTTTAAAAAGAAAGGATGTGGCAGTAACCACAGGTCATAGTCATTAGTGAATTTTTAAAATATACATGGACTTAAAAATAAAAATAAAATATATATGCCCTTACCTCCAAGGAACTTAAGTCTCCGTACAAACTTCCATTGCCAAATAGGCATTAATCTAGTCAACCCAAGAAGACAGGTGAAAGTGTGCACTTTTTAACACTATTTTAAGAACTTTTGAGGCAGAGCAGTCAACAGTTTACTTACAGAGCAGAGAGGCTAGCAGTGGAGAATCTTAGAGAGTGGAAGGGAGAGGGAGAGACAGAGAGGAACATAGATTGGTTGCCTCCTGCACACCCCCCTACTGGGGATGTGCCCGCAACCAAAATACATGCCCTTGACCAGAATCGAACCTGGGACCCTTGAGCCCACAGGCCAACGCTCTGTCCACTGAGCCAAACCGGTTAGGGCAGTGGAGAATCTTAGTGATTTGTTCCACCAACATTTGCTAAGCACTTTCTAAGCATCGGGCACTGTACTGTGTTAAGGTGAGGGCACAGAGATTATTTAGCCTGGCTTCTTCTCTCAAGGCACTTCTAGGAGAGTGGGCAGTTGTCGCAGTTATGTACTGACTGATGAGGACCGCAAACACTGAGGCCATGGGAACACATGGGCCCCTGTAAGGATGGGGATAAAGGAAGACTGCCCAGAGGTGGCACCTGAGTTGGGTGGGCCTTGATAAATAGGAGATAATACAAGAAAATTATTACACAGCTGCTTCCTCTGTCATTAATAAATGAAGCAGAGAAGATAAGGTTCCTTTGGGAAACTTCAAGAATTTCAGAATGACTAAGTAGAATTTTAAAGGTGTGGTAAGAGTGGGGAGCAGACTGCCCAGGACAAAGGTAGGAGCAGGAAAAGAGCAGAGAGGGGGTTTCATGAACCGCTTTGGCAACTCCCTGTCTAGCCGTAGTTGAGCTGGACATCTCTGGGAGGACACAGCCTTCTTCTAGATATGCCCACTTCTCAGAAACATCCCTGAGAGAGTCGTTGCCCCAGAGTTCACAGAGCCTGATCCCCTGAGCTCAGGGACTCTGGGAGGCAGGGGAATGAGCCCCCTTCCACCTCCCACTCCTAGAAGCGTTTACCCAGGAACCTCGGACCCAACCTTGCAGGTTTTTACTCTCCTGGAAGGTCAGCTACCATCAGCAATTCAATGGCCGTGTTGCCCCAGACAGTTGCATTGCGGGATTGTTTACCCAATGGGCAGGGACCAAGTACACAGCGTCTCTCAGCCTGTTGCTTCTGATAATTGCTTAGTAAATCTTTACATGTGTATTGACTTTTCTGAACTATTATTTAATGGTGGTTGACTGATGCTCAATAAATATTTACATTATTTATTGTAAAATAATCATTACAATTGGGTTCTGTGGTGAGGGAAAAACAAAGGAAAAGAGTGGGAGCAAAGAGAAAGAGTGAGGGTGCAGAAAAAATGTCAAGTAGTCATTAACATTAACTTATTGAGTACTTACTAACTCACCAGTCTGGAGCTTAGACTTCTGTATGTATATTATCTTATTTAATATTACAAAGACTTATGATATAACATTATTATCATCTCTATTTAACAGATGAGGAAACTGAGGGTCAGAGAAGTTGAGTGACTTTCCTAAGGCCAAGGGGGTGGGTTTCTGACCCCAGACCAGGGTTCTATTTATTATATCTAGCTTCTAGTAAGAGAGAAAGAGGCCTTGGGACTTCTCTGTAGAAGCTTTAGTAACAGTTCTTACCTGAGAGTAAGCAGCAGGAGATTCTGCCTTATGTTTCAATAACTAAAGAATAAAGTGTAAATCTTGTTTAGGTGGCTTAAACAGAAACCTATGGACCTGATCACTGTTCAATGACCCACACAATTTTCTCTGGACATTCTGAATCACCATTGTCATCTCTCCTGCCCTTTATTATTCTGATCTTTGTTTATAACCTTTTACATCCATTTTGATCATCGTCCTCCCATGAATGACAAGTGCATGTATACTTTGTGAACTTAGAAAAAAAATTCCAAGATTAGAATCTGGTGTCTAATATATGATATGACAAATTCCCACATTTGATGTATTCTTTCTCATGGTGTTGGCTTGGGACTTCCTATTAGTTCTGAGAAAAAATTATTTTTAATAGAATTATTCATGAATGATTCGTGGGTGGCTTTAGAAACATTAATTCATAAGTGTACTTTAGCTATCAGATTGTCAAAAGCCCACTAGAAAGATCCATTTACAGGTTAAATGTTAGTGTGTTTGAAGATCTTTGCTTTTGCTATACCTGACCTGGGTGTGTACTTTTATGATTCATTATATGCATCTAGGAGGCAGATGTTCTGTCTTATTTAGCCTGTGGAGAAAATATTGCTGAGTAAGAAGTAACATATTTTTGAATAGATTAACGAGGATCAAAAGGGTAAATAAAAGTGAAGAAAATATACCCCCGGGTCACAATGTTTATAAATATAAGCTTAGTTTGTTGTTAAATGCAATAACATTAAAAAGAATAAAGCTATTTCCTTTCATAATTTCTTGTGTAGTCTAACAATAACAGTTACCTAGCTGAACTGAATTACTGATTGAGAAATGTCATTTTAAGCATCAGATTTAGAAGTGCATATTTAAGTTTCTACATTCAGTCATTCATTCATTGAAATATTACTGAGCACCTATCAGGCACCATTCCAGGGAGTGAGGATTGGTAGTGAAGAAAATAAAGGTGTTCTCACATGAAGCTTGCAAATTCTAGTGGGAGGAGACAGAAATGCACCCATGAGTATATGATCTGCCAGGTGGACATTTGAGCAGAGACATACAGGAAGTGAACACATGAGCCACACAAGAAACTAAGAAAAGAACATTCCAGAACATGTGAGCCATGCAGTAAATGAGGAAAGAATATTCCAGGCAGAGAGAAGAGCAAATATGAAAGCCCTGAAGTAAGGCCTGGTATGTTTGAGGGACATTGAGGTGGCAGGGCAAAAACACTTAGAATTTAAATCTCAATTAACTATAAATATATAAACTTTTTCATTTTTAAATTTTTTTAATAAGCTGGCTAAATAGAAACATCTTTTTGTTTCAATCTATATTAAAACTATGTCTAAGTTTCCTATTTGGGTAAATACTACATTATCAACTTATTTTAATTTTTTGTTCTTTCGTTTATGTCTACTCTGTGTCAGGCATGTGTGGGCGCTGTTAAGTGCTAGGCAAGCAACAGGGAACATCACAGACATATTCCAGCCTTGATTCGTCGGTGTACAGTGTTGGAGGACTAGCATTCTTTGAGGTCTTCATGTTCATGTATAATGTGGGTAGACTTAGGAGCCAGGAGAGGGACTTCAACTAGGAAAAGGGATTGGGGAGTGCTGAGAGGATCAGCAAGGTCTTGTAGACAGACAAATTCAGACGCTGTGAGGAGAAAAAGGAAGAATCAGGTGAGGAAACCTGGGGTCAGGGAATCAGAGACCCACCAGGTAAACGGTTTAGGCACCATGAGATAGGAATCCTAGCCACGCATCTCAGTCAGCTGGGAGAGGCCTCTGTAAACAGCAGCAGGTACCCACAGCAAGAAAGGAGTTAAAACAGCTTGCCTCTCCCAGTAGGGCTCAAAGTTTAATGTGGAGAGTTTTCAAGCATTTTTGTCAAGGCCAAAGGACAAGATCTCAGTTGTTCTGCTCTGCCCAGGCCACACATTGAAAAGGTGAAGACAGAGGTTTGATTGCGTTGGTCACCACTGTGCATGTTGTTGGGTTGAATTGCCCCGTTCCTGACTGATTACCTGAGGTGGGCCCATGGGCTTTCCAGCACCTGTGTCCTCTGGACCCTGGAGGTCTCCTGGCCAGCCACTGTCAGCTGTTGCTCACATCTGTGCCCTCTGCCCCAGCCATCTGTCCTCCAGATGCCCCTGAATGACAAGGACTTTACTGTAAAAGTGCCAGAGCCCCAAACAATGGGATTTCAGCAAATCTCTGATATCAATTGGACTTTTTTAAAAACATGACTGCTGCTTCTAGAAAAATCCAGAAAACTTAGTCTTTAATTTTAATTCACATGTGGGTAATCAAAATGTTTGTTGTTGTTATTGTCTGTTCTTTGGGTTCTTTTTTCTTCAGTGTCTATTGCCCCATTAAAATTTTACAAATAGGCACACTTAACAGTTTCTTTCCCATACATGGATACATACATACATCTTGCATATTTTACATAAATAGTTCATATGTAACTCTATATAAGATATATCCATAACCATCCTTACTATGAAATGAAAACAGCATTCAAACTATAAGTCAAAGTAAAATGTAAATGCTTGCTAGGCTCTGGGCTTTGTATAACACAAGATAAAAGAAATGTGGTAGGTGACATTCATAAAATTAGTTTAGGTGTTCAAGTCCTACTGCATGCTTCTTGGTTGCCTTGGCAACCCAGTATATAGATGAAAACCCTGGAAACAGGTCAGATACTCACATTGACTTAACAAAACTATCATCCTATTATAAGGATGATTATGTTCACCTTATTTCTATTCCCTTTGACATTTTTCTTATCCTCACCTAGGATACGCTTTTTAAAAAGTTGATTTTGGGCAGAGAGAGAGAGAGAGAGAGAGAGAGAAACATCCATCAACTGATGGCCTCCCGTACATGCCCCAGCCAGGGATCGAACCCGCAACCTAGGTGTGTGCCCTGACTGGGAAATGAACCCGCAACACTTTTGGTGTGGGGGATGATGCTCCAACCAATTGAGCCACCCAGCCAGAGCAACAAAATTTTTTAACAAATATTTTAATTTGGGGGCATTCAGCAGTTTTTCTTGTTAATAACTTTTTAAAGTAAAAACATAATCCTACTCCATGCAGTAAATTTGATGAACACATTTATTCTAAAAAACGCTTAAAATCAAATCCTCTCCACCTCAAGCTGAATGACTAGGCATGGCAATCACCCTTAGCTCAACTCTAGCGTCAGGCAGCATCGGCTCTGCAGCAGCAGGCATGATCCAGCCAACACACGCCTGGCAAAGAAGCATTCTAAAGTGCCTGTCCAGGCTTTGTCAGTTCTGACACAGCATCTTGACTGTATTAGTTCCCATACACCCAGATTAGTTTCAATCTATAACAGTTTACATAGAGGTCCTTTATGGAACCTGACAAAGCATCTGTTGGGATGATAGCACCCTTTAGAAAGGGAACTACACCTGAAGTTTACTGAACAAGTATACAGATGATTCTGAATACTATCTGGTTCTTTCTCACTCCGAAACTGGTGACATCACTAATGCGTGCAGTTGTGGGAATTGTCTCAACTGTCATACAGCCTGGATTCTCTTCTCCCAGATTGTGGGATATCCTTGGATATTTCATCCTACTTACCATGGGATGTCCACTTCTTCTTTAGGGCCATTACTACTAATCTAAAAAAGTTTCCAGGCTTCCCTTCTGCCAAGTACAGACTATGGACAGAATTACTTGCCTCTCTCTGAAATAATCCATCAACTCTCCTCTAGGAAACATCATCACACTTCCTGTGCCAAATACATTCTGGGAGCAGCACTAGAGGCGGCGTTATTCTTAATGTTCAGTATCTTGTGAGCTGCGTGTTATCTGCCTGTTCCATGTTTCCATTGCTCATCCTGCTGCCTCTACCGCTAATGCCACATCTAAATTTGATCTAATCATCTTGTTCCAAAAACCAGCTCCCTTCTTGGTTTCCTACTTCTTTTACATATGTCCCCCTTACCCAGGTGGAAAGCTGCAAAGTCAGCCTTGATGCTCCCTCTATCAGCCAACGAGTCCTGAACATTCATGCTCAATCATCTCTGCATAATCATACCTTGTATTCCATACCACTGAGAATCACCATTCCAATTCGTGTCCTCTTACCCATGGCCTCACCTCCTCCTCAGGCTTTCCTCCTTCAACACATTCTATGTTCTTGCCAGATTATTGGTGCTCAAACACTGCTTTAGTGTCACTTTTCCACTCGCAAATATCTAGTGGTCCCCATTGCTAAAAGGATAAATTCTAGACTACTTTATTTGATGGGTAAGGTCCTGGTGCAAGCTGTTTCTCTAACCTTATCTCTTAACTAGAGGCCCGATGCACGAAATTCATGCAAAGAGTAGGCCTTCCTTCTCCCAGCTGCCCTCTGGGATCCGGGATCCAGGACTTGGGCTTCTCTCTGGCACCCAGGACCCGGGCTTCCCTTGTAGCCCCGGCTTCGTCCAGAAGGTCGTCCATTCTAATTAGCATATTACACTTTTATTATTAAAGATTCTCACCTAACCTCAGCCCCAGTGAGATGTCATCTATTTGCCCTTCCTCCAGCATATCCAATATATTCCACCCCTTGCCCGTGCCCAAGCCCTTCTCTTATCTAGTTGGGTAACCCAGCTGTCATTTCTAACTTTCTTTATTCCCTTGCCATCTTCTACTATAGAAGCTAGAAATGCTAAATGTCCTCTTTCCTAACCTCCCTTCAACATCGTCACATTTGTTGTTCGGTTTTACCTCTAGAAAAATTACAGTGATGAGTATGGAAGTGTGGATTCAGTAAAATGTCATGATGGGGTTTAGATCCAAAGGAAGAGTAATGTTAACAGTTTCTAGTTTATTTGGCTAAATTAAAGATGTTCTTCCTTCCTATTTTTATTTCTCCTTCTTTAGTTTGGTGGAGGAAGGCGAGGGAGGTGTGGTTGCTTGTTTGACATCCTAGACATAACAGAAACGTTTAAGTCCTCTCCTTTACCTCTTCTGATAAATTTTTTAAGTTCGACTTTATTTAATAACTAGAAGCTACATTTTATTTAATTGATTACTATGGCCTGACACAGATATGCTAGTAACTAGTAGTCATAAAACTCAAGAGTTTTTGTGTACTTGGATTTCAGCAGTTATCTTCACAAGGATGTTAAGTTGCATTGGTTTTTTGTTTTTGGTTTTTTTTCATAATGTGCTTAGGGGTTACCAAGTCAAAATGTCCAACCCACAAACTGTTGAACTTTAGTCCACAAAGTAGTAGCTATAGAAACTGAAAGGGTCACTTAGAAAGGCTCTGAACAGTTAAAGACACCTGTGGTTAACACCAGAAAAAAGAAGGAAAGAAAGCCCATTGAGCCTCAGTCAACATTCTGAACAGTTTTACTTCCGTTTCTTAACAGTCAAGTGTAAACCAGCGTGAAAGTAAAATGTCTCTGAACAAAAGGGTTCTAATGTAGCAATAGCTGCAGAGGTCTGATCATGCTCTCTCCCTCTAGATAGGCAAATGATGTTTCCTGCCTTTGCAAATGTGACCAAATGGCTTAATAATCAATACTTTTCCAAATATTCCTATGCAAATATCATTCTCTAAAAGGGTTCAACCCTGGCATTTATGAGCCACATCAGTTTCTAAAAGGAAATATAGTCACATGTTTGACCATGGTAGAGTTAGGAGTCAGTATTTTGGTTGCATGCTTTTAAAAGCCAGAAAGAGAGAGAGAGAGAGAGAGAGAGAGAGAGAGAGAGAGAGAGAGAGAAAGAGAAATAGAGAGAGGGAGGGAGGGAGGGAGAGAGGAAGCCAAACTCTCATCTTAAATATATCCCAGTGTGACCATATTTATAACCAAAAAATGGGGAAGCAAAAAGCAACTGGAGGAATGTAAAGTGGAAGAGAAGGGCACGAGACAGGGGTCAAACCCCCATTCCTTCCCACTGCTCCAGGGTTCTTTCAGCAATTAGAACATACACAGGACCTGTGGGGGTGTAGGGGTGTGGGCGTGAGGTGTGAGGGTGTGCACAGAAGGCATGGCCCCTTCCCTTTAGGATCTACTGTCAGGTGAAGGAGGCTGACATAGATAAAGAAGTCTGATGGAAAGCTGACCTTGATGAATATTTAAATAGCTCTCTGATAGTAACAGAAGAACTGGGAACAGAAAGCTTCCTTCCTGCAGGTGGGAGCAGGGATGCTTTGGTGAAGATGGTGAGATCTGAGCAGGGTCTTGGATGATGAGTAGGATCGTGACAGATGGAGATGCATGGAAAGGAGTTGGCCAACATAGCAGGAAGAGCAAATGAACTGGCAGGCCTGGGCCACAATCTGCATGGAGCCATGATGAGCCAAGGGGAAAGCCAATCTTGGGTCAGACACAGGCTGAGAATTTAACCCTTTTTGTCTACCTTAAAGGCAGTCAGGAAGGTATCTGCCATAGAGATAGGAAGAATAATTTGAGCAAAAGTCACAGCTTCTAGGTAAAGCCCAACCCACCCTTTCTCCAAAGTCGCAGCCAGAGCTCCTATCATGGGAAACACAGCAGGATGCCCCTCCCCCTCTTTGATTTCCTCATCCTCATCTCTGCTTCTGTGTTCTCCCTGTGGTAGACACCTATTCTCTTTCTGCCCAGGACTCTTCCCTTTTCCTGGGATTGGTGCCTTTTCCTTGGGGAGCTCTTCCTCCTTCCACTCCACGCACATGGACCTAGAGGGGTGGGCCAATCCCAGCGCCTAAAGCCCTGGGCACAGCTGGCTTGTTAGGAGTCAGATGTGAGACTCAAACCATCCTGAGATCTTTCTTTCTTTCCTTTTTTTTTTTTTTTTGTCATTCCTTTCATTGATTTATCACAATGCTACTTGTTTGCTGCTTGTCTCCCCCACTAAAACTTGAGGCCAGAAACTTTGGCTTGTTCACTGCAGGGTCTGGCACATATTAGGCCCAATAGAAATCTTCGTGAGGAATGAGCAAGCACACAGGTTCAGATCCCTGCTCCACCACTTCCCAGCTTTGTCCTTGGATTAATGACCCTCTCAGAAGGCTTCCTCATTAAAGATCAGGGCTTTCAAGTTGAGTTGCGTATTGGAGATTATGGGAAATGCCTGGTTCCATGAAGAGGCTCCGTAAATGGTAGTTATCACTTGTGAAGTTTTTCTTTCCTTCATTTTTCAATGCACCCTGTTGCCAGGCTTAAAGACCTGACATTGTTTCAAGAGAATTTTTTTTATTGAGGTCTAACAAATGTGTAGAAAAGTACACATCCCAATTAGTACATATATGTATATACTAGTAGCCCTCTGCTCACAAATCCGTGCGCCAGTAGCTCGCCAGTAGCTCACTGCCACCCTCCAGTAGCTCTCCCCCTGCTGCCCCGCCCTCCTGTATCTCCCTCCTGCCCCATCTCATAACTTGCTGCCCTGCCCCCTCCTGTAGCTCTCCCTTGCCCACTTGTAGCTCACTGCCCCACCCTCTTGCTGATTCATGATCCGGTCATTACTCAGTCGGTCATTACACTTCACGGTGTAACACCATTTGCATATTATATCTTTATTATATAGGATACATATAATATACACACACCCATGTAACCACCTCCCAAATTAGGAAGTAAAGCATTCCAACACCCAGAAAAGTTTCCATGTTAGCCTCCCCCATCCCCCGTCCATTCTTTTTCTCCTCTGTTTGATCTGAGATAATGGCACCTCCATTCTTCCTTCAAGCCATTTCTAACTCATTTCTTTTTCTTTTTCCTCTCCTGAGACCTTTCCTGATAACTCTAGCTCTCCAAACCTCCCCTACCACCTTCAGTCCTGAGATATTTCACCCTGGATTTAGTCTCCCTTTGGTATTGAAGGTATAAAAGTAGAAGCCCATGGATGAAACTGACTTAAGAGAATAAAACTAAATAGAGAAAAAAGCAGAGATGAAAACCCAAGATGCCAATGCTTACGTGTTGTCCAGTTAAGTTTTTCTGAGGTTCAGATGAACTCATGCACTTGCCACTGAGACTTCCAGTAAATCCCCTTTTTGTCTGTGAGATTAGGATAGGGTTTGTCACTTGCAACCAAAATGTTCTTAACTAAACGATGTCTGTACTGGTTAGTTCCCATTTGCTGGGAGGTGCCCTCTACCCTCGTGCCCACTCTCTGCTCAGTGCCCCCAAAGGCTGACTGTATCCTTGGACTCCCCAGCCTTCCTGCTTCTGGTTGGGTTCACCCAAGGCGAGTCACTAACAGGAGATGGAGTGAAGGAGGAGAGCGAAGCTGGGTGTTCATTTCCCTGGTTTTGTTTGGCCTGTAAGCCTCTCCTGAATGCACAGCGCCTCTCAGGAGGCTGGTCCACACAGCTCTCTCCCAGCTTTGGTAACTGCTCCCTTCCCCTGAAGTGTAGACAGGGCTCCCTGCTCTGAGCTGCCTAAAGTAAGCCACACATTTTGTTGCTCTCTCTAAATCAGGGGTCCTCAAACTACGGCCCGCGAGCCACGTGCAAATACAAATATTATATTTGTTCCCATTTTGGTTTTTTACTTCAAAATAAGATATGTGCAGTGTGCATAGGAAGTTGTTCATAGTTTTTTTTTAAACTATAGTCCGGCCCTCCAATGGTCTGAGGGACAGTGAACTGGCCCCCTGTTTAAAAAGTTTGAGGACCCCTGCTCTAAATCCTGCCAACATCTTTGCAAATAGTCCTTTGACTAAAATCAC